TTAATTAATTAATTTAATTATTAATAAATAATTTTGCTGCTTTTGCTGCTGTTGCTGCGGTGTCTGCTTGTGCTGCTTTATTTTGCTGCTGCAGCAGACCCAGTTGTTATATGTGCCCGTGTGAGCAGCGCGCTGCGCTGCTGTCTGCTGCTGGTGTTGCTGTTGCTGCTGCTGCTGCAGCAACGGCTGCTGCAGCATCTGCATGCATGCAGGATGTATTAAATAAAAAGAATAATAATTAAATAATTAAATAAAAAAAAGAAAAGATTAATTATATTTAGAGACGAGCTGCTAGGGGCCCCACGGCTCCTCCCCACATACACACGAAGAGGGGGGAGGAGGTGGGCAGCTAATTGCGGTGTATGTACACCTAGTTGCATGCAGCTAGCTGCCTATACACCTGAAAAATACTTGAAATATTTATTAATTAAATAAAATAAATAAAAAATAAATAAATAAAAAGTATTATTATACCTCTTTGTGCAAGGAGCAGCAACAACGATCAGACCCTCTTAAGACTGCTGCTGCTGCTGCTGCTGCAGCCGCTGCTGCTGCTGCTGCTGCTGCTGCTCGTGTGTGCAAAAAGACACCCCCTAAATGAGCAGCAGCAGCAGCAGCAGCAATTCAAAACCCTTTTAATATATTTTATAATAAATAGGTTACTTTTTGAAGGGTTTGGTGCATGCAACAGCAGCAAAAGGAGCAGCAACAATAGCAGCAGCAGCAGCAGCAGCAGTAAGCTGAGGCGACTGTGTGAGGCACACGGCCGGACGCCCGCCCCTAGCAGCAGCTCGTCGTTGTCGTCGTTGTGCAGCGGCGGCCGCCGCCGCCGCAACAGCAGCAGCAGCAGCTGCAGCAGCAGCATCGGGGTGTCTTCGACCATAATTGTCTTTGCAGCAGCTGCTGCAGGGTTTGCTTCTTGCATGCAACTCTATTTTTGTTTAGTGTTTAATTTTATATTTTGCTGCTGCCTGTGAGGCCCCTTGAGGCCTCCATCAAGGTCCTGCAGCAGCAGCAGCTGCTGCTGCAGCAGCTGCTGCTGTTGCTGCTGTTGTGCTTCACCGAGAGCAGCAGCAGCAGCAGCAGCAGCAGCGCAGCAACCAACAGCAGCAGCTGCTGCCTTACCACCGCACTCTCCCACACTCGCATATTTGCTGCTACAAAACGTGTGTTTATTGCTGCTGCAACAAAAACAGCAGCAGCAGCAGCAGCAGCAGCAGCAGGAGTGATATGGAGTCCGCGCTGCTTCACTGCCAGCAGCAGCAGCAGCAGCAGCCCAGGGTGGAGGTGCCGCAAGTGCAGCAGCAGGAGCCAAGTCAGGTGCGGTTTCTTGTGCTAATTGCAGCATATTAGCAGCAGCAGCAGCAGCAGATGGGACCTGCAGCAGCAGCAGCAGCAAATTGCTGTTAGTCTCAGCCGCCTCACGGCGGCTTCCTTTTCCCCCATGTGTCTCTCACCATCAGCAGCAGCAGCAGCAACAGCAGCAGCAGCAGCGACAACAGCAACACTTGCAGCAACACCGACATCTACACCAACAACAGCACCAACAGCATCACCTACAGCAGCAGCAGCAGCAGCAGCAGCAGCAGCAGCGGCAGCAGCGGCAGCAGCTGCTGCAACAACCCCCCCCTTCATTCCGCCCCCCCCAACACCACACCGCGCATGCGTCCGCCTAGAGACGAGCAGCTCCTGCAGCTGCAGCAGGAGCTGCAGCAGCAGGAGCTGCAGCAACAGGAGCTGCAGCAACAAGACGAGCAGCAGCAGGAGCTGCAACAAGAGCTGCAGCAGCAGGAGCTACAGCAACAGGAGCTGCAGCAGCAGGACCAGCAGCAGCAGGAGGTGCAGCCCCAGGTTCTAGAGGAAGACGAGCTGCAGCAAACAAAAGACCACGAAGGAGAGCAGCAGCAGCAGCAGCAGCAGCAGCACGAGGTTAGCGATGACGGCCATCAGCCCAGCGTCACGTGCAGAGAGGAAGAGGACGGGCTGCAGCAGCTGCAGCAGCTGCATAAGCAGCAGCAACAGTTGCAGCAACAGCAACACCTGCAGCAACAGCAGCATCTGCAGCAACAACAGCTGCAGCAACAACAGCTGCAGCAACAGCAGCTGCAGCAGAGGGCAGCAACTCCGGAGGAGGAAGATCTTCCACTTTACGAAGACAAGCAGCAGCAGCAGCAGCAGCAACAGCAGCAGCAGCAGCAGCAGCAGGATGGCGACAGCAGCAAGCTGCCATGGAGCGACAGGCTCTCAGGTTATCTAGTAAACCAGGAAGCAAATGGGGGGGGCCTCTTTCCTGCTGCAGCTAGGTAAGTGCTGCTGCTGCTGCTGCTGTTGTTGTTGCTGCTGTTGTTGCTGCTGTAGTGCATCTATGCTGTAGTGCACCTGTGTTGCTGCTGCTGCTGCTGCTGCTGCTGTGCTGGTGTCCTCGTTGGTGTCTTATAAGTCGTGCATGCGTTGCTGCTGTGTTTGCTGCAGGGGTGGTGAAGGACTTCAGACAGAACAGCAGCAGCAGCAGCTGTTGCTGCTGCTGCAGCAACTGCAGCAGCTATCCCCAGGTACGCTATGGCATGCGAACGGCCCAAGGCAGCAGCAGCAGCAGCAGCCGCAGCAGCCGCAGCAGCAGCCACAGCAAGGCCTGTCTCCGTCTGGAGCGGATTGTGTTTTAAAGTTGCTGCATCAGCAGCAGCAGCAACAACAACAGCTGCAGCAGCAGCAGCAACAGCAGCAGCAGCAGCAGCAGCACCTGGCGGTGCCTCCTGCTCCCGGCATAGAACACTCATCTCTCGCGTCTCGCGTCTCCTGCAGCAGCAGCAACGGCGTAGGTGGAGCGCATGCGCATGCAGCAGCAGCAGCAGCGTCGGTTGCCTCCCTACGCGATTGCGACTTGCAGCAGCCGCAGCAACAGCGGCAACAGCAACAGCAACAGCAGCAGCAGCAGCAGCAGGCCGAAGGGCCCGGGGGGGCCCTTGGACCTCCTCCCTTAGGTGGGGGGCCCCTTTGGGGCCCACCTAATGGTCATAGGAGACTGCGGAGGGGTAAGAGAGGAGGCCGCAACAAACAGAAGAGGAAGGAGAGAGAAGCAGCAGCAGCAGCAGCAGCTGCTGCTGCTGCTGCTGCACCATTTGACAGCAGTCTTGATGCAGGTAGCCGCATTGATTGGCAGCAGCTGGCAACCTTAAGGCCTGAGCTGCTGCTGCTAGCAACTCGCCTCCTGCAGCAGCAGCAGCAGCAACAGCAGCAGCAGCAACAGCAGCAGCAAAGAGAGCTGCTCCGACTGCAGCAGTCCAGGGATCTCTTTAGAGTGCAGCAGCAGCAGCGCCAGCAGCAGCAGCAGCGCCAAATATTGCAGCAGCAGCAGCTGCTGCAACAGCAGCAGCAGCAGCAGCAGCGTAATTTCCAAAGGGCCGGCTACAGTGTACCAAGCATTGGCCCCCGACATCAGCAGCAGCTGCAGCAGCAGCTCTTGGAGCAGCAGCTGCAGCAGCTGCTGCAGCAGCAGCTCCTACAGCAGCAGCAGCAGCAGCAGCAACCGCACCACGGACTCGCGTGCCAGGACGTGGGCCTCAGAGATTTGCAGCTGCAGCAGCTACAGCAGCAGCAACAGTTACTGCTGCAACAGCAGCAGCAGCAGCAGCAGCAGAAGGTGTACATCAGGGATAGGAGGCCAGGCCTCCGCCTCCAGCAGCAGCAGCAGCAGCAGCAGCAGCAGCAGCAGGACGCGCACCCCAATATGTTAGCTGCAGGTGTACAGAGTTTCTTGGCTTTTGATAGCAGCAGCGCAGCGCCCCTGTGGGGCCGGCAGCTGCAGCATCAGCAGCAGCACCTGCAGCAGCAGCACTTGCAGCAGCAGCAGCACATGCAGCCGCAGCACATACAGCAGCAGCAGCACATGCAACAGCCGCAGCCGCTGCCACAGCAGCACATGCAGCAGCAGCCTCTGCCACAGCAGCAGCAGCAGCCGCTTAGAGTAGGCGGCGCGGCCAGCTGTAACAGTAACAGCAGCAGCAGCAGCAGCAGCAGCACAAGTGCGCATATGTATGGGGTGCCGCCGCAGAGGCGAGATATTACCCCGAATCAGCAGCCGCAGCAGCAGCAGCAGCAGCAAACCGCTGCTGCAGCAATCATGCCTGTTGGACCGCATGCAGTCCCCTCAGGCCTAGATGTGTTACCGACAGCAGGAGCTGCGCCCTTTACCGCAGCAGCAGCAGCAGCAGCAGCAGCAGATAAGGACATGAAAGATTTGGCGCAGTGTTTCTCTCAGTGTACAGTCACCCCTTGCAGTGGCCTCCTTGCTGCTGCTGCTGCTGCTGCTCCCACATTGCGTAGTGCTGCAGCAGCAGCCCCAACAGCAGCACCAGCAGCAGCAGCAGCGCGTCCAATGCCACAGGGACCCTGGAGTACTGCCGCAGCAGCAGCAGCAGCGGCAGCAGCAGGTCCGACGGGTTGAGACGCCACGGCTGCGGGCATGCAGCAGCAGCAGCAGCAGCAGCAGCAGGAGTTCCGAGAGCGTACGGCCAGGTGCAGTTTCCGTCAGCTGGCCGTTGCAGCAGCCGCATCAACAGCAGCAGCAGCAGCAGCTGCAGCAGCAGCAGCAGCTGCAGCAGCAGCAGCGGCAGCTGCTGCAGCAGCAGCAGGTGTTTGTATAAAAGTGTGGGTTAGTATTATAACAAGAGAGACCCTTAATAACAAGCAAACTTTGTTTAGGGGGCCCCCAAGAGGCCCCCCTTTCTTATTATTTACCTTGGCAGCAGCAGCAGCTATTATAGAGGCCCCTCGAGGCCTCATTATTCATGCCGTCAGTACCCTCTTGGGGGGCCCCCAACACAGGTGCTGGGGGCCCCCCAAATCCTCCTCTCTATTTACTTTACCCATTCTCTTCCTATTACGCTTTTTCGTTTGCTATGCGTTAGGGGGCCCCCAAGAAAGGGGCCCCCAAGAAGCCCGTAATGGGGGGCCCCCAAGGGGGGGGGGCCCTGAAGAGGCCCCCAACGGGGGCCCCCCAGCCGGGTGTGGGGGGGGTAAGGAAATGGGGGGCTTACAGGGAAGGTTGGTTCCCCAAAGAGGGGGTCCCCCAAGAAGGGGGCCCCCCATGGAGGGGGGAGGGGCCCCTACCTGGAGGGCCCCCAGCAGGGGCCCTTGAAAAGGGGGAGGGGGTTGTGGAGGACTGTGGTTTGGAGATGGGGGCCCCCGTACCCACCTGGTGGGTAAGGGGGTGTTGGGGGGGCCCCTAGCCGGGGGGGGGCCCCTTATGGCGGGGGCCCC